AAAAGTTGGACGCCCCGGCGGCGCACTAGCCCTGAGTGCGCCTTTACGACCACTTTTAAGGCGCACCGGGACCCGAGGTCACCGAGGCGCCAATGTGCCCTGCTCAATGGCACCCGAGGCTCTCATGGCGCCACCAGCCACTTACCCGGGACGTGGGATTGGGGGGCGCCAGGGTTCGGTCACCTGCAGGCGTCGGATTGACCTACAGGCCACAAGGCCGTCCCCAGGCCGCCTTATGCCATGCCCTTATACGGACGAAGCGGGCGGCGGGTCTTTTTTTTGCCGAATGCGTCTTGTACATCGTAGTGACAGTACGGCCCTCCTGGCGTCCTCATGCGGCCATCCGGTGTGCCCATATGGCCTTGACGCTTGTGAGGCGCCACGAGACCTCTCCTTCAAGGCCTCAACTTGGCGCCGCCGGGATGTGTGGCAGAACAGCGCCTCAGAGGCGTCCCCAACCTGCACGGCAGCAACGGCGCCGCCAGTGACGCCTAGCGGGCGCGGGACTCGACCGGGTGTGTAGAGAGCCAAAAGAGCATCACACGGACTGACCCGTCTGGGCCGGTCCAAGCTCAACAAGCTCTTTAGTGTCAGATGAACTACATAAGAGAGAATACAGACGCACGCTACTGCGTCAAGACACTCACCCGGTGAGACACCACGAACCCCGGGCACACCCTCTTTTCCTCCACCTTCCATGGGGCGGAAGAGAGAATGGACCAGAAATGTTTGGTCTTTGTGGCGTCCGAGTTTCTTGCACGCCACGCCGGTGGACCAACTTCCTCCCGATTCGCCCGCCTGTGTAAGTGCCGTGTAGAGCGGAGCTCTCCACGAGACTTGGAGAGGGAGAAGGACACGTGTCCGGCCTCTCTTAACTCTGACCACGGCTGTACTTGTCGAGAGGCGCTAAGACACCGCATGGCTACTCTGGTCACATGTCCTTCTTATCAGGAAGGACGGCGGCGCCGTGGACGACGCCCACCTACGCTATGCTTCGGAAAGCTAACATGATTGGTTTCAATGTTCCATTCTTCTTTCTGGTTCTTTTTTTTGGCAGAGTGAGGTTGGGATGATGGATAGAATATTTAAAGGCAGGTATTCTCCTTGTCTCACTCTGCTCAGCACTCAGATCATCCATCACCTCTAATTTACACTCGAAATCGATACAATCTCGGTACATCAGCGCATAACTCCAACCAACACAAATATGGATCGTCTTCTCAGTACCATCGCGCTCTCGTTCCTCTTGTTGGTAGCTGTGGTGCATAGTCAAGACACTGTCCGTTGTGGCAGGACCGCCAAATGCTTGTGTCTCTTAACTCCCGAAGGAAGACCTGGGCCAACTCTTAACGGCTGCAAAGATGATTGATTTCCAACGCGTGAGCCGGTCGGCATACTTCAGATTCCTTGTGTTTTGTAAAAGCTTTCGACATACTAGGATTCAACATGACATCGCTGACCATCTTTGGGAATTTGTCCCCCTATCAGGTCTTCTTCAAGCTCCCCCGAGTGACATCAAGCGTGCTTCTAACCAACAGTTCAAGAGGAACCGGCGACAGTCTGGATTGGTCTCACATCCCCCATATTCCCCCTCAGCACATATATTCTCTCCAAACATTTTCCCCTTTTTCATGAATTCATTGAATAACAAATAGTAGGAAAAGTGTCAATACCGTGGTAGCAACACGCTTGAATCCTTATCCTTTTTTTTTTTTTTTGCTCTGGTCGCTCCCACACCTGAGTATGTAGTTATACGGATTCCTTATAAGACTGAACCTGCGTGTACTCTTTTTTTATGCCTTCATCCACTTGTTAGCTCTTGCCAATCTGAATCCGCCCTTCCCACCATTCGACATGTACCATGCGATTTCGCGGTATCAGCAATCAGAGTCGACATAAACCCTTAAAAAATACAAACAGTGTATGACCTACGGGATTCAAGTTGAGCCCTGAAGTGGGCCCAAGGGAGCGTCTATCGGTCTTGACCATTCAAGAGCTCCTCCATTTGCAGTATGATTGATAGTAAGAGGTGTCAGAATATAGCCAAACTGGCGCGAAGCGTCCCGCACTTCATAGGCTCGGCGCTTTACCAAGTGCCCCCGGCGCGCAGGCCCCTGAAATGATAGGGGGGAATATGTTAAATTAAGTGATCGGAGGATCCGAGTGTGCAGTAAAACTAACTTAGCTGCGTTGGTATTATGATTGGTAAATGCAAGAGTCTTTGAGTGAGGCGGCGCACCTGCTATCTATCTTGCAATGGTTTAGCGGGCAAAAGCCGTTGACGACAGGGGCAAGGAAGCGTCGGCGACCTTCGCCCAGTGTGACGGGCAAAAGGCCAGACTCTCTGGACTCTGCATGGCAGAGTGTATGTCTTTCTTTTTATAAGAAAACAGTCTATTATACAACTTATACAATTCAAGTCAGGTCTATGATCTGGAGTCTAAGCATGCTAGAGTATGAAGGATTACAATTGAGACAACCAACGCTTGATCAATGCCCATTACATTGATTTGCCATATCACTTGATTACCCTCTAGAGTCATAGAAAAATAGAAACAGAGGCAAGAAAGAAACCCACTCTGGCCTCTACATGAAACAACCTGAAAGAAATTGAATATTATATGAGCTTATACATTTCAGATCCTGTCTATTATCTGAAGTATACATGAGAGCTTCCGTCCAAGAGATTCAATTAGACAATCGTTGCTTGATCAGTGCACTACATTCTTTTGCCATCACTTCATTGTCCTCTATGAGAAAGTGAAGAGAGCAACAGTAGCACAACAAATTAGTCAGTAATACATCTCTCTTGTCCAGAAAAAAAAGTTGACGTTTGTGGGGGTCGGCAACAGACTCACTCAAGCAAAACGCATGCGGTATGCCTTCTTTCATTCTCTTCCAAACAGGAACTTTCTCAGTAGGACTAACATGCGATTGATTTTCGATCACCATGTCCTCGAAGGTGGGTGGAGGTTGATTATCAATACTAGTGGGAGCTTCAAGATCTGAGGGTTGATGGGTCGGACGAAGTCTTGAATGATTTTCTTCGCTCGGAGTGTCATGAGTAGGCTCGGAATAAAGATTGAGTAGATCGATAATCTCAGTGATTTCGGTCTCGCCTACCCATTCATCGGCTTGATGACTAGCCCAGAAGAGCGTCATTTGTCGGTTGAATCGGTGGATGAATTGGCGATCTAATTCACAAATCGATTTCATTTCTGATCGAGCCATCTTCAAGACAGCAGTGACGGAGTTGATGTTCAGGATGAAGTTCAGGATGATCAACAAGTTCTGTTCCGATAAATCTTTCGCCTTCATAAGCTGATTCTTGTTGACTGGTTGATGATCGTTCCTGGTACCACTGATGGGACTATAGTAGAGTGTGATCAGACGACAGATGATCATCTTGGGTAAAGTCAAACAAAACACGATTTGGAGTATGTTCAGGAAAGGGAGTAAGATCGGCGAGAATAATGGCCTCAATCGGAGCCCGTTGGGTGATCGACCAATGTGCGAAAGCGTCGGGAATAGGCCGATGATGTGCATCACTTGATCCGGGTATCTTTCAAGTACCTGTCGGGTCAAGATGAATGAAACAAATAGGTACATGAGTCAATTGATTCTTTAATCAGGATATCCGTAACTTTGGGTTAAGGCCAGGTTTTTGTATATAAATTTTCAAGCTGGACATGATTATTATGATAGTTGAGATTTGTTCTTGTGGAAACGGTTTAAGAAAATAAAGAGTGTCAATTATAGACAATCCTTCAAGACAAACCACTATCGACACGCGTGAAGAAAAAACAAGCGCGCCCAAGACAGAAACCGGACATGAATAAGAAGTGTCCAGGAGAGAAATATTTCGCGACTTGAAGAACATGAAGGGTTTGAAGGAATTTGGATCGATGAGGGAGTGGACGCCTTACCTTTGTGGCGATATATCCACCAACGCTATGGCCCATGATGACCAACTTAGTATGGGTCGGATCTTTGATACCTTCGTGCAAGATTTGACCGACGAGATGGCAATGAAATTCGATTTGATCAGCCAAGGAACCAGCAGCTGGAGGATTAATTTCGCGAGACGATTGACGGCCATGGTTCGGGGTCGGATCAGATGAAGAAGACGAGTCGAACAGATGATTCCAAAGTTTGAAATTGTCCAGGAATCTGAGATCCAAGTTAGAGTTATGTCGCAATGAATGGCCGAGATGGCCACAACAGACAGCCTCACATCCCCCGATCGCGTCGAAAGAGGAGCACAAAACCGAAAGGAACCGGTCATAAAACTCTACCAAGCCAGGGTTTCCAGGGATCATGTAAACCAGAATTCTGGGGCCAGTGATCGGGGGCTTGGCGGCAGAGTCCGACGGAGAGTTTAGCGGTTGAAAGTGTGCTCCATCAGAGGGATTGCAACTGAAGCGGTTCGTAGATCTATCGAATGTCAGATGAGGCTGCTCGAAGGAAGAATGGATCGAGAGATCACTCGGAGGGTAGCCCGGATATCGGTAGGATGTCAACAGCTTCCTGATAGTATCTCTGGAAGCAGTGCTCTGGTTATCCTTCGAATCATCCGATCCGATATCATTTCCCGATCTCGTCATGTCTCGTGTGGAATCTGTCCCTATTGTTGTTGATGATTGGAGTCTTTCTTGAGAGGGAGTTGCTGAATAGACACCTTGCAATCCAAGAGAGTTAGTTATCTTGTTGGATCGGCTGATGGTTGGTTGTATGGATTGACCCGGGAAGCTTTCGAATGGGAACACTACATGCAACTTCCCTCAAGACTAGCAGATACGAAGTTATTACTTTTTCCAATTCTTTATAATGATGATGGATTCTAAAAGGATGACCACTGACTAGCTCAAATCCTTTTCGCATATATCAACGATGTCCTTCGCACCACAACGAGCAGAGATGTGAGAGCTGAGGTGTTTATATAATTGCACGCACTCCAAAGAGAGGTCGAAGAAGATTGCAAGCTGGATCGACAAGCTATACGATATCTGCTGGAAATGATAGATATTCATGATAGTCAGCAAGTTTGAACCAACCAAAATTATCCGTTAGCGTTCAAATGATTGGGTATACTTTTTCGACTCCTTCATCTTTTGTTTTTTGATTGTCTGATCTGCTAACTTTCGGGAAGGAGGAGGCCTCATGACCGAGAATCTAAACCAGGTACATAATTTAGTTAACCATCTGCTTCTTCCTTCGCCCTGTGCTACACCTTCAAACTTCCTCATGTAAATATTTATGTATAGGAGTTGGCTATCCGTCGATTGATGTTCAGTGGCCGGTGGATTGAAATAGATTTGTATGTGATGTTGTGGTACCAATGATTGATTCAGCGATCCGAATGAGAAAAACAACAGAAGAGAAGAGAAAGAACGTTTGGGTTCATTGAAGACTGTTGTGCTAGTGATGACATGATGGTTTTTGCGTACCACCGTACCCAAGAAATTACATAGTATCGCGATCGAGCTACAATGAGCAAGTTAACACTCAAAGTCATTCATATAGGGGCCCTGACAACCATTGAAAGATGGATGAGAATAGGAGGATGTGGATTGGGAGGATATGGTGATGAGGGGCTGGCGTTGGGCGTTGAGCATTGTTGTTGATGGTCATAAGAGGAGAAGACATGATGATGAAACGGAGTCCGGTGGATCGTATTTAGTTGGAGATAACTACATGCATACATACCAAGGTATCGTCAAGACAGAGGGGAAAAGACGAATGAGGTACAACGTCTAAGAACTAAAAGACAGGTTTCTGTTGTCCCGGTGCTATGTGCAAAACCGGAGGTCAAGATGATATAAAGAATATTAAGGACAAATGACTATTCAGAAAGACAGAAAGAAACGAATGAAAATAAAAGACGATTAATAAGAGTTTTCAAGGCAAGAAAGAAAATTAGAAACATTCCAAAAGTCCAAGAAAAATAAAAGGTATAATATATCATTTATTCTCACAGAGAAGAACAAAGAGAGCAAGCAAAACGAAAACTAAAGAAGACGAGAAGATGATTCTTGTTTGAAGGGTGGCTTGACCGAAAACAATTGTTTGAGCCAACCAGATGGTTTTTGATCATGATCGATATCATTTGCTTCTATCAACTTCGCTTTATCCTGGAAGAGCTCCTCGATCCCAGTTTCTTCTCTAAACGGAGGTGGGGGTATGAAAGTTTGAGGCCTTAAGAGGATATCGTTGAGTTGAGAATCTCGGTGGGCATTCATGGGTTCCCAATCCATCGAGACTTCCTTAGATCCACCAGACGTTTCATTATCCGGTGGAGGAGGAGCTGAAGGGTTCCACGGCTGGCCGACAGGTTCATTAAAAGGCCCTTGCAGCGAGCTCAGTTTTCCGAATGCGGGTTCTCCTTGTAGACGACTGTTGCGTGGACCACCACCGACCGTCGTGGGCGAGTTAAGATGAGCCGCCTGATTCAGTGATGAACTTGGTGATGGACGAGCCAGTGATAGAGTCGAAAAGAGCTCGTGCTCCGCAAGTCCGGCCGTTGGCTTGGGCGTCGATTGGGCTAAACTTCGGGTTTGAGAGGTGGCTAAGGATTTGACTCCGATCGGAGAATCGGTCGTGAGGATAGTGAGGGAAGCTGCGAGGAGCTACATGGAAGGGGTGATTTCAGCTCACTTGATATCTGGAAGTAACAACATGGCCGTTCGATGTGATAAGTAGCCCAGACACTCAACTGCTAACTGAAGCGCTCCGAACATGCCATAGATCAGGATTCCAAATGACTTGGATATTCCACAAATGTATGCGTTCACGTCCGCTTGGATTTCTGCGTCAAATGAATAAAACCAGAACGGTAGACGAAGGAGACATCCAATCACGTTCAAACACTAGGTTAAATGAGAGCTAATCAACCATTCAGATTCTGAATGTCGTGTTCATGTATCTATATGGTGATATAATAGGTACATTTGAGGGATGGTGATCAAACTCACCAGAAACCAACGTTTTCCAATAACTTTCGTCCGGATCCCTTGTGCTCGATTTTTTCGCACCCTAGCCCAAGTGAAATCAAAACAACTGCAACCAAGTTCAAGGAAGCAATAGCTTATGGAGTTCATTGGGAGGCCGAGTAGAGATGCTCTGGTTGAGAAGGTGGGACTGATGAGGATTGGTTTACATTGAAATGTGAATGAAGCTTGTGTATATCAAAAGGAAAAAAAAGGTTAAGATAACGATTATTATGCTTGAATTGGGCAGTTTATAACGCGATCAGAGGTCAAAATGTAAGCGTGAATATTCTAAGAAAGAATAGTGACCGACAATAGATTGCGACTGAGGAGCTGACGAGATAGGAAGAAAGCCAAGCGACTCCATGAAGTCTCCAAAGCCATTCCTGGAGTCTCCAAAGTTTCCCACCCATACCGGAAAGTGTGAGTGAGGTATTGTTGTTTGAGGAAGCGGAGTGGGCGTGATTTGAGTTCATGAAAGTGGATTTGAATGGTTTGGCGAGCCGTTTGACTGATTCGTTTAGGGAGAACGCCTTCACTTTGTAGTTCCTCTCTTTGATTAATTCAGAGGCCTTCTTCGAACAACTCGAACAGAGTATCGGATAACGAGCCTCTAAGGAAGCCTTGTAGGCGGGTAAATTGTCCATCAATGTCTATGCAAAACAAAATGGAGTATGATCAACTTCAATCAGTGGACAACGACGATGATCGTCTTTTTTAAAAATTAAAAGAGTTTTTTTTTTTTTAATTGGAGTATTGAAGTTGGATATATCACGCTCACCCTAGTAGGAGAATCAGCTCGACTGCGTGATTGTGGGTGGTCCAAGTCACCCGGAAGATAGTTGGCAAGAAGATTGAGTTGGAGGTTTTGGTTTGCCAAGCAAGTCGAGCAGAAGGGTGAATCAGAAGAAGACGGATTTCCTCGATCGTTGGAGCTGCCTTTGGGCGTAGTAGGACTTCGAGAGACGGTCAAGATTCGTGGGATCGAAAAGGCTTGGTGAGGTTTGGGGTTTAAGCTGGGATCTGACATTTGAGGGAGATAGTCGATCAGATTACCATTCTAGATATCATGATACATCAAAGGAATATGGATGTTGAGTTCGAGAATGAAGATAAACTTTTAAAAAAAAAAGAGAATACATAGACGAATCCAAGCGACTAACCTCATCCTTCCTTGTCCACCCTCCACAGTCACACTCGGATGGTTTGCTAGCCCCACAAAAATGACACGACCGATCCTTTCTTCGTCTCCTGGAAGATGATAGTAGTGCGGCCATCGCGTTCTTGAGTCTTGTTTATTTATGAATAAGTAAATATGTAGTTGTTGGTTCTGCGTTGCTGGTCACGGGTGCGATGAAGCCGAATTGAAATCGAGTTGACACGGGGTTGGAAGCCCGGGTCCCCTCCCCTCTGGGTCAACAATATCCCGTGACAGGCTAATGAACTTCTTGAGGATGATTGACCAGAGACACAGTTTCGATGCTCTTTTTAAATGCACCCAGTTCAAAATACAAAGCAGCGAAGCATTTCTGTCAAGACACACATACACAGCGGGACGGATCGAAGAAATCCCGACCGCCGTGCCGGCGCCCTGGCCGGAAGGGCGACCACATGACGCACCAGGGCGCCAGCGGGACCCAGGGTTGTACAGGCGCCCCGAGGCCGGTCAGGGCGGCGCTCTGGGTCAGCATGGTGTCCCTGAGGCGTCATCGGGTCGACCCACAAGAGGCACGTCCCGGTGGCGATTGGGCGGGTCGACTCGGGGTCGACATGGCTGTGGGGTCGTCATCCTTGTGCCATGGGGATGACACCGACCGAGGCGCCATGAGACCAGGGGCGTCAGGGACGGTTTATGGTTGGGGCGGCGTCATCCTTGCGACCCGGGTCAAAGGTCGATCGTCTCCTTTTTTCCCTCTCGAATACCATCGGGAAGGATGGTTTTCACGTGGCACTTCCAAAAAAACTATTGCCAATTTTTTTTTTTTTTTTTTTCTTCGACTTCGCTTTTTTTTTTTTGGATCAGAGCTCTCTCAGGGGTGAAACCTGGCAGATAAGTTCATAAATGACATTTTCTGACAAGTCGCACTGGCGGTCTGGTGAAGTTGACCATTCCGCCGGTGGGGGAGCCGATCCGAGTTCCGACACAAGTTTGAACCTCGCATGAGCGATCTTTTTTTCAGTGCTACATAACCAGTCGGTGGCCCAGAACTGGCGCCCCCATTCCCGTGTTGGCTACATCCCGCCCTTGACTTTAGGGCGAATCCCCTGGGCGCCATCAAGGGCATGCTCCAACACATGTCCCCATGGCGACCCTGGCCTGGTGGGCTGTAGTGGCGCCATGGGCGGCGCCCGGCTGGCGACCAATTAGTCCCGGGGTGTACATACGATCAGGACGTTTGTTACTTCCACCCTCCGAAGGAAGAGGGCTGCTGGGGGCTGCTGCTGATTTTTGAGGCGGTACATGCAGGCTCAAGCAAGCCACAAAAGCGCTGGAATCGATGTGTGTTTACACTTCGTTCATGATCAGCTGTCTGGTAGCTGTTTGTCTGTCAGATCGGCAAAAAGTTCAGTTGACGTCGATGATACATATGTACTTGAATTTGCTACTTTCTTTTGGGTGAGCAGGGCAGTTCAATTTATAGTCCACCAAGCTACTGATTCTCACACCGGCAACATAACCTATTTGGCAAGGCATACCAGGACCCTGGCAAGCCCCTATATATGTGGGTAATGTGAATGTATGAATTTTTGGGCCAAAAACCAAAATGGTAGGCATGAAAAGTGGTATGAATGGTCTTTTTGGCCGCAAACATACTCATCTCAAATGTATATAAATTCTACTGGGGAAGGGGGGTTAGTAATTAAAGATGTATGAAAGGGACTTCACAAGTTCACAGTTGTCTTTTTTTGTTCCCCCCCCCCCCCTTTGAAAGACCTTGGCCCCAAATTTTTTTGTACCTCCCCCCCCCCCCCTCAAGCAGCACCTTCGACCCTTTTTTTTTCCTTTTTTTTTTGGTCAAAAAGCCCCTGTCACAAGTTTTTTTGGTACAATCAATTTTTTTTGCATGGATTACCAGAAATGTTAAGCATGAAAAATGTATGAGGAAATTGAAAATCCTCTGATCATACGCATGAAACGTGTATGAATGGGTCCCAAAAATGTATGAATTTTGGCAAAATTCCGGATTTTACATTACCCACATATATAGGGGCTTGCCAGGGTCCTGGCATACCATTGCTCCTGCAGTTCTAGTCCCTCAGCAACCCTTGTTCAAGCCCCACCAACTGCATTAATCACCAGAACCAACATGCAGTCCACCAACAAGTGCCTGGCCATCATCCTGGTTGCCATCAGCCTGCTCATGCCCCTGGCTCAATGTTTGGAATGCTCTTTCTGTGGGAAGAAAACACACCTGGCAACTGCCCACATCGCATGAGATAATTGTACACATGCTAATCCTCAAGGGGAATGAAAACATGGAAATTACAAATAAAAAATAAAAAATCAAAAAGAAACCTAGAAAACAGAAAAAAAAAACAATAGAAAATTAAAAACATGCAATCCATGCAAAACCCCCCTAACCCCCACACCCAATAAAGCAGTGCACCTGTACTGTGGTAGGAAAACCCTTTTTGATGTAGACCCTTGAAACCAGCTGGATTCATAATAACATACTTACATATGAGGGAAGAATAGTAGCCAATTTTTCTTGACATGGGGGGCATGATGCCTGGCTTACTGATAATAAAATTCAAGCTGCCCCACAAACAATTGGTTTTTTGATATATTTTGGGGCTTGGTCAATCAACTCAAAAAATTGGAGACAAACTTTGAGAGTCACTTCTAACGGTGGAGAGGAACCTCCTCCAGGCTGTTGAGAGGGTGCTCCCAGAAGCTGGGAGGAATCTTTGGCCATTGAGAGTGTACTCTCAGAGGCCAGGAGGATTCCTCCAGGCTGTAGACCTTTTGAATTCACCTACTCCCAAAAGTGTGGTCAGTTTTGGAGGATTGACTTGATGACCTAGACAGGGCTGAGAGCAGTGGACACAAGGTGAAGTGAGTGGGCGGTGTTTGTGGAAGGATGAGGATCATTTCACATAGACAACAGAGAAGGAACAAAAATAAAAGAAAATGAGAACAATGACCTACTATACCTGAGAGCAGCAGACACAAGGTGGAGTGAGTGGCTGGTGTTTGTGGAAGGATGAGGAAAGAAGACTTCCACAACTGCTGCCTCAGGTATCCTATAAATATGTGAAATGGTAATGAAACTCATGTGACATGTATAAAGCAGATGGAAACTGAATTAAGGGATTACCCCAGGGCTTGGGATGGGGCTGGAGGGTCATCCCGAGGATCCCAGGAATTCTGGGGCTTGCCCTGAACCCCCAGGGATTTTGATTTTTTTTTCTTGTATGTGCAGCCTTGGGGGTAGATCTACTGGTCAAGTACTAGTACCAGACTTCTCTGTAGCTGAAGATTTACCCCCCAAGATAAAGCAAAAACAATGGCCACCCACTCCACCGCCAACAGTTCAAACTCACAAGGTTATCAACTTGGAGGAGGAGGAGATTGAGTCTAGCCAAGGGGGGAAGGTATCCGGGTCCGGCAAGCGTAGTTGGGTCTGGAACCACTTCAAGGAGGACAAAGGATCCAAGCAAGCAATCTGTCAGGTTGTTACAAAAAAGGGCAACATTTGTGGAAAGTCATTAAATAAAGATAAGAGTAGGAGTACAAAGACTTTCCATGCACATCTTTTCAGCTTTCATTGCCTAGTGGATCCAAATCTCTCAAAGAATACAAAAGTGAATCACATGGATCTCAAGAAATGGGCCAAATCAGGTACTTTGGAACCCAAGGCAAGCTTCAATTTTTCATGAAAAACATGAGCACTTGCACTAATCATTCTTTGCTATATAACATGTAGACTGAATTGAATTCCAAAACACTCCGGTCTGCCTTAGTCTACATGATTGCTGACTGCGACCTCCCCTTTGCATTTGTTGAATGCAAATCTTTCTGAGAACTGATTTCCCTCCTCAATGAAGAGGCCACGCCTTTAGTTAACACTACTAGCCAAGCATCAATTGCGACACACGTTGGCCGTTGTAAGACTCAAAAGTGGTTGTGAAACCCTTTTGCTGAATGGAGAAGGGGATGATGGAGTTGCAAGCTCTGCCCTTCTATGCTATCAGAACAACAAGACCACCAAGCTTAGCTTGGCAGTTATATTTATCGTGATAGAGGATAGTTCAAGATGAAGCTTCCGATTGATGTGTATAAGGGTCTGAAGTTATAAATGAGTGATGATTATATTGATGAAGCTGTTGTTCAAAGCTTTAAAACCAAGGCGCAGAGCTCTGGGAGCGCTTATGCTTCAACCAGTAATGGTATGTGAGGCAGGTTATGGGCACTTGACACTTGTTATGATGTTGAAAGTGTTATGTTTGTATTTCAATATAATGTATTGTTATGGCTGTCACTTGTATATAATCTGTAATGTGGGTTGAGTTGATCTGGTCCTCTGGTGGGATGATGGAGGGAACAACTGGCAGGCAGAGGCCTCCTTATATAGACAAATGTGAGGGATTTTAGCCCCAGGGTACAGGCTTTTGAGGCATTTTAGCTGGCCTGAAGATCCAATGAGGGATTTTAGCTAGTCTAATACATGCAGGTGAGGGAAATTGGCTGGTGAGAGCACTGCCTTGAGGGAATTTGGCTAGCCTACAAGGTCCTACTACAAAGGAATGCATGTGCACCTACAAAGGAATTCAATATGCACTATGCGCCAATAAAGGAATTCAATACAACACAAAGGAATTCAATATTCATTATGCATCCAGCATTCAAAATGAGCCATACTGAGATTAAAGAATCCAAAAAACATCCCGTGACAGGTTGAAATCCGCGTAACTTCTAAACTATGAGAGATATGGGGTGAGTTTGTAGTGAGTGACTAGGGGTTATTCTGAGAAACCCATTTCTGATTTTATTTTTACCATATATATAATATATAAAGAGATAATAATAAATTTTTATATTTTTCTGCGTAAAAACACAGTATTATTTACCACACCGTATGTGTCAGCCTATGTGATGCCAAGACAAGTGTCCTCTAGCTACACAAGGTGCAAAATATAAGAGTTTTTATGGAAAAAACTCTGGGATAAAACTGGTACAAGTAATTCAAAAGAATTACGTGGAATTTATGGATTAAATCCAAAAAGTGGCCAATTTATATTAATAAAATTAATATAAATAAAACCAGAGGGGCCTGATAAATCAGGGGTGGTTTAATCCCTCTAAGGTATCGTGCAAAAAGCAGAGTATTTAGGTACCTGATACACTGGGGCCTGTAACAGGTGTGGTTTAAATCCCAGAAGATAATTTTAAGGGGAAAATCTTCAAGAAAGGGTTATTACTTACTAGTAATAATCCTAAAGGGTCTTGAGGATCTTCTTAGTAGAAACTGGACAGTTGGGAGCGCTCAGAAAGGTTGATTTTGGGTGCTGGATGATCACTGGGAAGTTTCTTGAGGGTTCTTGAGGCTTAATAACAGCAATTTATAGTAGTAACTAGGCTAATTACAAGTGTAGGGGACTTGTAAATGGTAAGTAAATTTCTATAAGGTATTGTAAAGCTGGGGGATCATTATTTGGGCGGTCAGAAGTCCCTTTAAGTACCTGTGGAAGGCCTCAGGGGTTGCCCAGGGGAGCTTAGTAGGACTTGGGGGCGCTTTTTGGCCCATTTTGGCCCACATGGTGATGTAACCAGGGCTGGAACCTTGGGGATAATATTCTAGAAGCTCCAAGGGGTCATGCACGAAATTATTACAGCCCAGAAGGTCACATGGGAACCTGTAGATAGGGGTTACTCTGTTACGTGGAGCAGGTTCCTTGGAAATGGGCCACAGAATATTCCAGAGGTGTCTTCTGAGGCTTGCTACACGTGTTACCCATTGGAATATGGTTACTGTAGTATTTTCATGGATATTATAGCTTGTTTATATTTTTATTACACGTGTGGGGGCTTTGTTGTCACGTGCAATGGGGATTTTGGGGCTTTTGTGGCCCAATCCTTGGATACTGGTGCGCAGCATGACTACGTGGCGCGTGGGCTTGGAGACAGGAATCCTCAATGCTCTATCTTCTAAACCGTGTACAATACTCCAATTCTGAGACTGGATTTGGAGTATATGCATTATGCATTATGCAGAGGAGTCACAGTACCCGTGATATGGGGGTACCTGTTAATTATTCATGCATGTATTACAGGGTGAAGGAGTTATAATTTGGGGTACCTTTGGCTGAGGTACCCTAGGTTAAATTGTATGCTGATTCAGAATCTGCAATAATATTTAAAGTTTTGTTTATACTTTTTAAGTTATTCATTTATTTTTATGTATTTTTTTTACTTTATTTACATAAGTAATATTGTTTCTTTTACTTATGTAATATTTTTAATTTATACTTAGATTTTTTATGTAATTTATTATTTTATTTGCTATGACAGGTTTTCTCTGCCATAGTAGCAAGCTGACAGTATGTTTGATCAATCCACAAAAACAATCAAAACAAACTATCTGAAAGATCAAATATCAATCTCATTCACTCGAGATGTGTCGAAGGCCCCAAATGTTACTGCCTTTGATCAGGATCTTCAGACTCCAGACCAACACAGAACCACAACAACCAGATAGTACTCCACTTTTCCCACCTTTCCCACTACACAGTGTCATTGGTGTCATCAGTAAGTAACTTCTTATAAGTTTTAGCTAGCATCTTTCTGCTTGTTCTCTTTCTCTGTCTCTCTCAGCTTCTCTTCAATCTTCTTCAAACCAAAGCCCTGATCTAAGAAAGCAAGCCATAGCTGCTATTATTTCAATTCTTCCTGTTTGGTAGTACAACTGAAAACTACATAGGTTTCCCTTTAAAGAACCTTGATCCTTGATCTAAAAAATTGTGGTTGAACTGATTTATAAGTATCAATAACCCATTTCAGTTTCTGTTGATTTGGAGGCGTAGAGTTAGCTCCGCTTATAACGGCCATCCTATAAAGGAAAGTAAGACTGTCAGCAGCCATCCAAAAGAGGCAGTAAGACTGCCAGAACCTTAATCATCATCATAAAATAAATAAAGAACAAAAAGATTATTCATTTCTTCCCCTTCTTGTCTTCCCCTCTTCTCTCTTTATTTGTATCCCTCTTCTCTCAAGAAATACATATAAAAGTGCCCCCCCAAAACCTTGTGTCCTGCAGTCACTATTGAGACCCAGTGTCAGCCTCTGGGTAACTAACCTGAGTTTTTAAGGGTGAAAAGGTTGTTACTATGAGTTGACTGAGTGTTTTGAGCGTGGTGAGTGTTAGGTAGTGGGTGATTAATACCAGTCCTGTAATGAGGAGGTTTCACTCTATCAGTATGGTCTTTACTGAGAGGCTTGCTATCAACAGCGCATCCGGATCAATACTAGGTATTAATAGGCATCCAGGGTACTAAGACTCACCTGGGATTGATTTGGTTATTCCCAAAAAGGGAATGGGCTAACAATACTTATTAAGCTTTAACAAAAATTAGTTGAAGATTAATAAATATTGTTGGGGGAATATTCAGCAAGGCTATGAATATTGTGGATAAGTTGAGTAATGTACTGAAGCTTAAGAGCAATAAAGGTAGACTTGATTTATGTTGAGTTACTGGTAATGTATCACAAATAAATGTTAACTGGGTTTGACTGGTGTCTGAATATTCTGGGGATTAATCAGTGAAGGGGGCACGGATTATAAGTTCCAGAATATTTGAAAAGGGAAGAATGAGCGCTCAGAATCAAGGGAGATTTGGCCAGGAGAATGAGCACATCAAATTGAGTGACTGATCATTATTTGTAATGATCTGTAAGTGACATCATAATTGTGTACTAGTTGATCAATGTACTACCAGCTCTTGATGTGTACAGTGCCTAGACAGTGAAAAGTGGCTGCTTATTTTGGATTCCAGAGCTCCAAAACACAAATTTGAACTCATGAGACTTTGTCAGGTGGTGCATAATAGGTCCCAAAAAATGAATATGAATCAATAAAAGCAAAAAATAAAGTTTCAAAATTTGTGAAAAATAAAAAATAAAATTGATTTTTTTCAAAAGCTTTGATATTCATTTTGGGGGAGTGGGAGTGCTGAGAGAAGAAAAGATTGGGATATTAGAAGAATGATTATAAATGAAAATTTTGGAAAATTTGGTTTCCAGATGGCTTCAAACAGCTGTTGAGTTGGGCATTCACCAGCCCACATTGCAGCAAAGCACTAGAATTTACTGTTTTGGCTCCAATCTGGACCACCAACCTGGCTAAACCTTTTTTGGTTCCAATTTTTTTCATTTATAATCATTCTTCCCATGTTTCATTCCTTCTTTCTCTCAGCACTCTCACTCCCCCAAAATGAATATTAAAGCTTTTGAAAAAAATTGGGTTTATTTTTTGTTTTTCACAAATTTTGAAACTATATTTTTTGCTTTTATTATTTCATATTCATTTTTTGGGACCTATTATGCACTACCTGACCCAGTCTCATGACTTCAAGTTTGTGTTTCAGAGCTCTGGAATCCAAAATAAGCAGCCACTTTTCACTGTCTACCCACTGTACACTTGACAGATCCTCTAATAATGCAGTCATAATTGTGATCAGTGCTTGTATTGAATGTATTAATTCTATTGTTAATTATTAAACAATATTCAATACTTGTACATAATTATTTGTAATGTTATTTGACCGTGAAAATACTGCAGAGCAGGGATAACTTGTGGTACAGGTATTTCACAGACAAGGGGGTGAAAGGTGAGTAATAATTACTTATGTATAAAACTGATATGTATTTAATAGATAAGCAA